AGCTCTCCTGGAGCCCCTTTAGGCACTGGAAGGGGCTCTGAGGTCTCCCCGGAGCCTTCTCTTCTCCAGGCTGAACCCCCCCAACTCTCCCAGCAGAGGGGCTCCAGCCCTCCCAGCATCTCCGGGGCCTCCTCTGGCCCCGCTCCAACAGGTCCATGTCCTTCTGATGTTGGGGGCTCCAGAGCTGGAGGCAGCGCTCCAGGTGGGGTCTCACGAGAGTGGAGTAGAGGGGCAGAATCACCTCCCAGACATCTGCCAAGCACCATCGGTGCCGGTTCGCATTGCTGCCGGCGGTTCCTCTTTTGGCCACGGGCAAGAGCCCTCCTGGAGGAAGCCGTCCTGCCTGGGAGCGGGGAGCCCTGGAGGTACCATAAGACAGTGGAGACAGTGGAACAGGTCCATGGTCAGCAGCACTTCCCCAGCAGCCCTGGGGAACGGGAGCGACCAGAGATGTGAGCCAAATGATGCTGGCAGGGAAGATGGTCCCAGGAGAAATGGGGGGGCAGAGACACTATGCTGCACTAGAGAAAGTCCGTCATCCATCAGGATGGTCTTCTCCTCGCTGCTCCCTCGAGCCCGACCCGGCGCCAGCCCCTGTCCCGCAGGGCTGAGACCGGCAGGAGCGGCAGCTCCTTCCCCTGCCTGCGACAGGGACAGGCGCTGGTGGCATGGTCTTCTCCTCGCTGCTCCCTCGAGCCCGACCCGGCGCCAGCCCCTGTCCCGCAGGGCTGAGACCGGCAGGAGCGGCAGGTCCTTCTCCTGCCTGCGACAGGGACAGGCGCTGGTGGCAACAGGGCTTCTGTTATTCCCCATTTCCAGGTTTCCATTACGAATCCAATAATGAGACGGACAAGCGGGAGTTCGAGAAGGCCGTGGAGACCATCGCAGTGTCCTTCAGCAGCACGTAAGGGACTTTTGGCCAGCCGTCCCTCGGAGAAGGTCCCCTGATGGACCCCATTATCCCCACCAGCCAGGACACATCTCCACCCCTCACCCCATCCCCTCACCCACACACAGCCCCAGTGGCGGCTGCTTTGGGGGGGTTTGGGGACCGGAGAGACCCCGCAGGGAGGGCAGGTTGACTCCTGCCACGTGCACCAGCAGTTCCTCCAGCACCGAGGAGGGACCCCAAAGCCTGCTCGACCCCTCAGGCTCCATCTCCCAGCCCCTCTTCAGTGCTGGGCCAAGCTCTGCTCCTCCACCTGAACTACCAAGACCTCATCGCGTGGAGCTGAGCTGATCCCCACTGAAAGCGGTGTTGCAGCTCCCATCGCTCTGGCCCTCACCCGGTCCCTTGGATGCGGGTCGGGCGCTGGTGGGTGACAGCACTGCTCGTCACTGCCCGTCCTCCCTTTGCTGAGCCCTCTCGTATTCCTCTCGTCACAGCGTCTCCGAGTTCCTCATGGGGGAGGTGGACAGCAGCACCATCCTCTCCATCCCACCCAGCGACCAGAACCAGGTGAGCGATGCTGGTTCCCACCACGCGGGTGTCGGGATGTGCCGGCTCGGGAAGGGGCTGAGCCCCCGGCCCCAGCCGTGGGATTCCCACCTCACCTCCAAGCCTGGCGGAGCTGTGTGAGGGCTTTGCCTCCTTGCTCCTGTCCTCGCCACCATCCCACAAAGGGGAAAAGCCACCAGGCAGCTCGATCCGAAGGGCAAGGTGGCTCGGGAAGGGATGGAGCAGCTCTGTTAATAGAGGCAGAAAACTCTGGTCGCTCTCCGTAGCTCTGCCCTGGGCTGGTGTGTGCGCAGAGCAAGGTATTTCTCCAGCGACATTCCCCTTAGCTCATGGCCTTCCTGTAGGGCCCCGGGATGGGCACAGCAGACATCCAGCAACAGCAGAAGGGCTCCGGCAGCTCCGGGTTTCTCCATCCCCTCCATCCCTCAGCCCCTCCGACTACTCCCCTTCCTCTTGTCTGATCACTCCCTTTTCTTTCCCAACTCCCAAAGGCTATGGAGAGCCTCTACGGGGGGATCCCCGGGCCTGGAGGAGACGGCATGCCTTCGGGCATGGAAAGCTACGACACGGGTGAGCAGGCAGACTCTGGGTGTGGGGTTTGGGGTGGTGGGACACCCGGCTGGGCAGACCGGACGGGAGGACCGGCATCTTCCCCACTGCCGCCGCGGCTCTGAGCCACACACGGCTCCTCGGCTGAGGACAGGCAGCAGAGGTGCTGCCGGCACCGGGGGCACAGCAGGATGGCGGCACAGATATGGGGAGGTTTGCACTGAAAGCTCACGGGGCTCGCGGGGGTGAGCCAGGCTGTCCCGGGGTCTTCCCGGCTGCTCCAGCACTCCTGGGAGCTTGATGGCATTGGGAGGGAGAGGGTCAGTGAACATAGTGGTGACATTCAGTGTCTCTCTCCTCTTTCTCCCCCCTCGTCCCATCCCAGGCCGTCCTCCTGCTGAGGAAGTTGACGTGATGCTGCAGCGCTGCGAGGGGGGGGTAGATGCTGCCCTCCAGTACGCCAAAAACATCTCCAAGTACATGAAGGACCTCATCGGATACCTGGAGAAAAGGACCACGCTGGGTGAGACAGGGAGGATGGCGGGTGGGTCCTCACCAGAGGGGGGGTTGAACTCCTCAGAGCAGCATCAGAGCAGGTCGAGGTTCTCCACGGTCAGTGAGGCTGAGGGAGTCAGACACTGCGAGGACAGTGGTGAACTTAATTCCTGAAGTTCCCGCTTTCTTTGTGAACCCAGTCAGCAAGAAAATCCTGGTGTCACGTGCGTCTTTTCACTTCCAACATTTTTCTTCCAGAGATGGAGTTTGCCAAAGGGCTTCAGAAGATGGCAAACAGCTGCAAGCAGACCATCAGTCAGGAGGTAAGTCCACAGGTCCCTCAAGCCACCGGGCTGTGGGGCTGTATCAGGAGCACGCAGCCCTAGAGAGCTCGTTTTGCGTGACCCAGCTTCAGAGCCCAGGAGAACGAGCAGCTCTCCAAAGCCCTTTGCTTGGCAAAATTCACATGTCCAAACCAAAGCCAGGGATGATGCCGAGACCTGGCAAAACCTCCTCCATCAGTAGCCAATATTTCTGCCCAGCCTTGCCGGTGGTGCCGGCAGGGAGAGCCCGGGCAGGCTCACACACCAGCCCTGCCCTGTCCTCTGCTCTCCAGCCCAGGCACCAGGGGCCCTTCCAGACCCCTCCAACCTCCCTCCAAGCACTCTCTTGGCCGCCTGTGACCACACCATCTTGGTCCAGGATGGAGCTTTTACCAGTAGCAGGCAGCCAAGCCGATCCCCGGCTCTTCTTCCCCGAACGCGGCACTGGAGGACACATCTCCTTTGGTTCACGCTGCGGTGCTGGGGCTCAGGGTCGCCTGTTTTCTCATCTCTCAGACCAACATGCCTTTCCTGTCCATCTACCTGCTGGCCCTGGAGCAGGATATGGAGCACGGGACGTCGGTTCTGCAGGCTGCCAACACCCTGCAGCAGCAGACCTTCCTCCAGGTGAGAGGACGAAAGGCCATCTCAGGTCTTCCCCGGTGGCTGGGCAGCGAGGGAGGCTGGTGGTGGCCTCCTTGGCCCTTCTGCCCCGGGCAGCTCTTCCAGAAACTGGAATCCATCTGCTGCTCCGCTCCGCCACCGCTCGGGCTCGGCAAAAAAAAAAGCTTCAGCGGCTCAACGAGTCCAAGCTCTCAGCCAGATGCCGGCTCCTTCGAGGGGTTAGATACAAAGTCTGGGAGAAAAAAAACCCAAAGTCTGGCAAACCAAACAACACCTCCTTATCCATCCCCACCTCATCACCTGCACTCCTCCGCTCCCCCGCCAGCCCACGCCAACCCGCACCCGCTCCCCGGAGCCGTCTGCCGGGAGGGAACCCCATCCCACCGCCACCGCGGGTGGCTCGGGCTCAGCCCAGTCCAGAGGGAAACTGCGTCTGGTGCTTCCCAGGCTGCAGATTTTGGTCCGTGACACCAAACCCTCCCTGTAAGCCAGCCCAGATGTGCTGGGGAATGATAACAACCGCCACAGGGAACTTCTCCTGGCAAAGCCTCTTGGCAAAGGGAAGAGCAGCCAGCGGTTGGCTCAGGCCCCCGTGGGGGTTGTTTCTCCCTCCTGATGCAGCCGCTAACTGTGAGACGCCTCGAGCACGAAAAACGGAGGAAGGAGATCAAGGAGCAGTGGCACCGGGCGCAGAGGAAGCTGGTGAGTAACAGCCCCGCGGCAGGGGCTGGGTTTGTGCCCCCGAGCCCATGCGGGCGACCCCCCGTGACACGTACCCCTCGGAGGATGCTGGGCTCCGTGCTCCCCTCCAGCGGCGGTGGGCGCTTTGTCCCAGGGAGCCTCTGCTGTGCCGGGGGACACCGGGGGGACGCGGGGCGCAGCGGCAGGAAAGGGGCGCTGGGGAGCTGGCGGGAGGTAGCGATTCCCTCACAGCATCCCAGAGTGGTGGGGGCTGGAAGGGCCCTCTGGAGCTCCCCCATCCCACCCCCCGCCAGAGCAGGGGCACCTCCAGCAGTGGCACAGGACGGCGTCCAGGCGGGTTTGGGATGGCTCCAGAGGGGGAGACTCCCCCACCTCTCTGGGCAGCCCGTGCCACTGCTCTGCCGCCCGCACAGGAGAGAAGTCCCTCCTCAGGTGGGGATGGAACATCCTATGGTCACGTTTGTGCCCGTTCCCTCTTGTTCTATCACCGGTATCGCGGAGTTCAGTCCTCACCCTGGGTCACTGTCTCGTTGGCAGCAAGAGGCGGAGGTGAACCTGCGCAAGGCCAAGCAGATATACATGCAGCGCAGCGAGGAGCACGACAAGGCCAAGTACATGGCAGTGAAGGCGGAGGAGGAGCAGCAGAACACCGCCAGCAGCATCACCACCAAAACCCTGGACAAGAAGAGGCGGCTGGAAGAGGAAGCCAAGAACAAGGTAGGAATATGACAGCTCCGGACTCGGGCTGAGCACCTGCCTGGCAAGAACCCTCTCATAGAACCACAGGCTGGTTTGGGTTGGAAGGGACCTTGATGATCATCTAGTCCACCCCCTGCCCTGGGCAGGGACACCTCCCACCAGCCCAGGTTGCCCCAAGCCCCGTCCAACCTGGCCTTGAACACCTCCAGGGATGGGGCAGCCACAGCTTCTTGGGGCAACCTGCGCCAGGGGCTCACCACCCTCAGAGTGAAGAATTTCTTCTTAATATTTAACCTAAATCTACCTTCTCCCAGCTTGAAGCCACTCCTTGCCCCTCACTCCTCGCTGTCCCCGTGCAGGGGCAGCCTTGAGCGAAGTGGGCTGAGCTGAGCTCCCCGCGGATCCTCGGACGGGGCGGATGCCTGGAGGAACGGGGTCCAAGTGCAGAGAGTGGTTCTCCTTGTTCTCCTTACCGATGAACTGTTTCCACCTCTTGCTCTCCCAACGCGCAGGCAGAAGAGGCGATGGCCACCTATCGGACCTGTGTGGCGGACGCAAATACCCAGAAGCAGGAGCTGGAGGATACCAAGGTGAACTCCTTGCGGCAGATCCACGAAGTGATCAAACAGAGCGACCAGGTCATCAAGACGGTGAGTGGGATGCTTGGGATGGCCCCCAGGGCCGGGGGGTGGCCGTGCCCTGCTCAGGAGAGGGTCAGAGCTGCCCCCCCAGCAGACCTGGCTTAGCTGCTCCTATTTCAGCGGAGGTCCGGGTGGATGTAGAGCTCTCCTCACTCCCTCGTGCTCTCAAAAGCCAAGGCTCAAGGCTGCGGACCAAGCACAGCTCCGTGCCCCTGATTCCTCACCGACCCCGGAGCTCCTTGCCCCTCTCTTCCTTGCAGGTCAGCTCACAAAGCTCATGCTTGATTTTCTCTACATTGTTTTTAGGCCACCATCTCCTTCTACCAGATCATGCACATGCAGACGGCTCCGCTGCCCGTCAACTTCCAGACACTGTGCGAGAGCAGCAAGCTCTACGACCCCGGGCAGCAATACGCCTCTCACGTCAGGCAGCTGCAGCGAGGAGACGAACCTGACATCCAGTACGACTTTGAGCCCTACGTGTCCCACAACGCCTGGTAGGAAAGGAGAGGGGCGAATAGGATAGGATGAGGGGGAATGGCTTCCAAGAAGAGGGGAGATTTAGGTTAAATATTAGGAAGAAATTTTTCACTTTAAGGATGGTAAGGCACTGGCGCAGGTTGCCCCGAGAAGCTGTGGCTGCCCCATCCCTGGAGGTGTTCAAGGCCAGGTTGGACGGGGCTTGGAGCAACCTGGGCTGGTGGGACGTGTCCCTGCCCAGGGCAGGGGGTGGAATAAGATGATCTTCAAGGTCCCTTCGCACCCAAACCATTCCGTGATTCTGTGATTCCATGAAATCGCTCGCTGGTTTACACTCATCTCTGTCGCTGGGAGCCTTCCCCTGGGCTGGCACCACGCTCCCCTGCAGACACCAGCACGCTTCCAGTGCTCCTGAAGGCAGCTCCTGCTGGGAAAGCTGGGGCTGGAACAGCTGGGAATGTCCTCGCATGTCCTCCCATGGACGAGACAGGCTCTCTAGTGTCTAAGGCAAAGGACTGTAAATCCCAGGACAGGCAGATAGCAGCCATGGATGAGGTTTTCAAGTGTCCTTCCTTCTCATCCACTCAGACGTCCCCTTTTCTCCTTCTTTCTGCCCACCAGGTCGCCCTTCACTCGGACACGGAAAGGCAGCTTCAACGCCAATGACTTCTCCACGAACGCGGGCGCTGATGGGGCCGGGCTGCCCAAGGACGGGGCCGTCTTGGAAGGAGGAGCGGGAGCCAAGGAGCAGCAGAGCGGGGCCGTGGCGGCCGAGCGGAGAGGTGAGCATCGCCGTCCCTGCGGCACAGCTGGCAGCAGGAGCAGAACAGGACCGCTGTGGGACGACTTCTCTTTGCCGCAGCTGGACAGGCTGGAGGCTTTGCAAGCTGAAATTCCTGAGGGACCTGAAATCAGATCCATGGGGGTTTTTCGCTCTTGCTAGTGCTACCTAACAGCCCCTTCTCCGTCCTCCCATCTCTTCTTTCCCATGCTGGATGTGG